GGCAGGAAAGGTGGGGGACAGTAGCGCCCCTCCTGCAGACACGTCTGGGGTCGGTTCCAAGTTCACTTGCAGGAGGCAAGCAAGGGCTATATTAGGATGCTGCTACTATACTGCTGCTGGTTCATTCTGTTGAACAGACTGCAGTCTTTCGACAGGAAAACTTAATTGGTGTTGCCAATTTGACCCCCTTTGTCAAAGGATATGACTCAAGCTGTGTGCCTTATTTTGGGATTTGGCAGCAAGCTATAGTCCTATATTCAGAGTGTATGCTTTCATTTACTATATAATAGATTGATAATATGTCAAATCAAAAGTAGATGGGGGTCAGGGGGGGGGGGGAGATAGACGGATAAATGTGTATGTGCGGGGGTCCTTATGCAGAGTCATTACAGACAAAAAGGGAAAGGGAACCATTGTGAGGGACCATTTATGTTAGGAAAGGGAAATGGAGGAGATAAAGAATAGGAATGAGGTTGCACCATCACAAAAGATTAAAATTAATTTGGTCTTGCTAAAGAAGATAGAAACAGAGCCATGAAGATGGGGAAATTAGTTTCAACTTTCATTATCTATAACAAATTCAAAAGATTGATGAATGAAACTTCATAAAGAAAAAAAATAAACTGTAGATTTATTTGAGGTTAAACCAAAAGCAAAAGGGAAATAACATTTTTTGTCAATGTAAACAATTGTAAAAATGTTTGAAAATACTTGCTGTCTTCATTAGATGACGACTTAGTGGAACGTGATATAGATTGCATAAAAGCCAAATTCATCAGCGCAGAGCTACATAAAGAAATAACTTTGCTTTCTTTAAAATGAAAAATGAAGCTTTGTTTTAAAATAGTCTATAGTCCATTGGAAATAGAGTAGCATTGTGCATTCCAATTTGTAGCCGGTACAATTCTGTTTGCAGATCTCACTGTTATACAGTGAGAATACATTTCCTATTTCCCCAGATAACGTCACATTTGGTTGTAGCCGAGCATAGAGTTCAGAAACACACCTACAAAGTGTGAACATGCTTGCTGAGTAATGAGAAATTGAGTAAGCAAGAATAATTGGCTTTACTACCACTACTCATTATCCATGTCTCTACCCATTACAAGCTCTGTTTAATATTACGCAAAATATTGATCCGTCAAGAAATATGATGCATCATGAATGAAACATCTTTTTCTCACAAGTTTTTTTTTCCTCCATCTCCAGCACCATGTTTGAATAATAGAGGAACAAATTATCTGATCATGTTACTAATATGGCTCGATCCCTCTCCCGCTTTCCCTGTCATTATTCTTAAAGATGTACTCTTATTTCAGACTTTTGTTACTCAGCTTGACGGGTAGTAAATAAAGGCTTTGTGTGTGCGGCGTGACTCATCATTGCATTGCGTAGTAAACTGGCGTCCAATTTCATGGAGTTTTCTTCAGTTGTTTGTTCAGCAGGGCCACATTGCTGGGGAAGTGAGGGAGCATTATTTCCCCATCAAACTGCATTTTTTCTTTCCTGTAGGAAATTGTGTGAGATCCGCTCTAGTATCGGTACACCCTCGCAAACTGAAATTTTCTGTAGTACATTCGCTGCCTCTATCTGTCTCTTTTTTCCCTTTTTTTTGTGGGTCGGATCATCCAAGAAGACATGCTTGACTCTCCAACTGTTGCAAATTTATCTCACAAATGTAGATTATTTTCTTTTAACTGAAAATTGTATTACATAGATATCAGTACCATCTTTCATATACAAAGCCAAGAAGAACTCTGTTCATTTCTAAGATGAAATTATGTTTTTGGATGTCTTGAAATAATATTACGCTCCATATATTTTCCTCTCTGTAGCCATCAGTACATACATGTTTTTAGTACTTCTCTCAGACATAGTGACGTAATTGGGGAGATGTACATTATCATGTTGCCTGCCTGTCTAGGTTGTTACTGTCCATAATGAGCTAATATTTGCCAAGTGGAACATTTGAGAAGCTTAAAGCACTGAACTGGACATATGTATCATCTGTAAGAGTTGAGAGGACCTGGGAGTGGAGGAGGAAGGGATAGTGAAAGCATTGGAAATAAAATGGGTATTTTAATATTCCCTGATTGATGGTAACTTTGGATCATAATTGTTGATTCAGCGGATTAACCGTCCAACTGTGCTTGCTAATGGAGAGGCAAATAGAATCATCATAACATTAATATCATTATGTACTGCTAACAATTAACTTACATTTTTATAAAAATTCACGATTCAGGAGTTTCAGGTAGCAGATGGAACATAAAACAACTAAAGATTAACTCACATTGGTGACTAAGAGGAAGATGAATAAAACATAAAACCTATAGGATTAAATTTAGTTCGTGGAGTAGGAGAAATATAAAGTCCCCTCATTCTTTATACTATTTCATGATAATTGAAATAAGTCGTTTAGGGAATACAAAAATGCCATTATGCATGTAGCCTTACTAATATCTAGCCCAAATTTTCTTGGCGTCTTTGAAAAGAATTCAACTGTAATGGGATCATTTTTACACATTACCATCCTGCTGCTGCATAGCTTCTATCCATGGGCTGATAGGAAATGACATCTATTTTTAGGGGCAAGATTTGACGCTGATAGAAAGGGTCAGTGGCTTGTGATTTCCACAAATAGCGCAGGAGCAAGAAAACAAGTTTCAAGACAAAGACCTCAGGAAGATGTGAATTCACTTTCTCCATCATATGAGTCACTAAAAAACTCACTATCATGCTCATGTTTAGATGCAAGGTTTTCTAAAGAGCTGAAAGAGAAGATAATGGACATACAGTTTTCCTCACTGATTACCGCTACTCCCCCCTCCCCCAATTTTTTTTTTAAATACATGTAATACATAGCTCATTAATATCATTTTTTTTAGTCATATGGAGAAAAAAATGAGTCTGGGTTTCCATGCCAATTTATTTAAGAGCAAGGGTCTCTTGAAAAATAATATTATGTTTGTTGTATTCTATTATTAAACATTCTGATGCTACAGGAGATATGATCCAAGGTAATTTAAGCAAGAAAGAGATGCCATATTGCCAGCTTCTTGGAATCATTTTCATGACTATCATGATATGAATCGGACAGTCATATAGTGAAGAAATAAAGACTCCCGCCATTTGTCTCTTTTAGGGCAGAAATGCAACCAAATAATGTCAGTTAATCGACCGCAAAAACCTTCCCCCCTCTTTACCCTCCTCATAACAATATAAAAGATTGCGGTTCCTGAATACGGTTATTTGCTGTCTAATAAAGCAAAAATGTTTGCGGAGCAGTGACTGATGATATGTCGTGACTCACTTTATTTCCGCTTTGTGTTGCGCCAGATGAAGTCTCCGAGCATCTGCCTTCAAAGGAATACTCTGGGGCCTGCCGCCCTGGGCACAAATCTCCTTTGGCCTGTTTTCATCAGCTCGAGATTGCCAAATATCCTGATATTTGAACAATCCCGATGGCAAATTATCCAGTTAATTTGCTCCCTTCATCAGCCCGAAGTTGCAGGATATTTAGTTGATATAATCATCCCAAGATACCTTGGGCTAGTTTGCAAAATATCCTGCTATTTGTCCGGTGCGTCTTCACCAGCTCGAAGACTCGCACTATGCGCCAACGCTGAGCAAATATATCTCGGGATAATTTCTCTAGCTTGATTTTCAATTTTCGAGGTCAAGTCTTGAGCTGATTAAGACTCGACTTGTAACTACAAGATTATTTCCCAAATCAGAAATAGCGGGCTATTAATCTCGAGCTGATGAAAACAGACCTCTTTGGGTGAATTTTTTCCCCCTGCAAAATGCACTTGTTGAGATCATGTTTGCAAAGGATATTTGAGATGTGAAATTGCAATATAACCAATATAGCCCGAGGGTCATTGTTCTGATTTTTTCAATGAGGTGACACAATTTACTCTCGAACTTATGTAATTTTGGAAAGCGAGCAGATTTTCAAGGAAAACTGCATGTAGACCAAGAAAATTTGTCTGTCATTGGCTATTGAATTTAGTGTGCACAGTGCATGATTCATCGGTGGTTTGATTCTCATCCCATGGTTCACCATTTGTACTTTATACAGATATGTAGGCGTACTGAATATGCATTAAGAATCATAAGTTAACAGGAAAAATTATCAGTGTGTGTTTGTGTACGTGAGAGAGAGAGAGAGAGAGAGAGAGAGAGAGAGAGAGAGAGAGAGATGGGGGGGGGGGGGGGTTTAAGAAGAGGTAGTAAACCAGTAATTAATGTATAAGTATGTTTTTAGTGTTGTATATTAATGGATATACATAAAGTAGGCGACATTAATTTCTTTGTAATTACTAGCCAACTATGAAAATAGTAAACCATTGTAGACACAGGCAGTGTTTCTTTTCTTTTTTAATAGTAATTATACCATTTAATGAGATAATTAGTTGACTTTCCCTCTGGTGTGCAGTATAGAAGACCGCTGTAAGGGTGAGCCATTTTGCGTAATTGATACAATAATTGGCTGGGTGTGGTCAATATGAACGATGATTAATAGTTATTTTGAGAGGAAGGCTGGCTGTGTGCATGGGGTACTCTACTGCACCCATTACATGCAAAATTTACAATTAACAAAAGAATCTTTCAGCAGGGTCTTCAAATTTCTTTTGTTCTTATTAGGGGTACTCTTCATGGAACACTGTAAACACAATTTGTGATTTATGTTTTTGTTTTTGTTTTTTGGGTCAGTTATTTGCATCCTGTTAGCATGTGCATTATATATTTTTTCCCTTAATTTTTAATGCCATGAAGATTGCATTTAGTATATTTTAATTTGTTCCCATGGAAGTGCCTTGGGAGAAGGAGTAAATCTAATTCATACATTTCATATTTATTATCTCTGTATAGGATGCTTTTCAGAAACATAATTATATATATTTAATCTTTCTGAAAGGTCAAGAAGTAAAGCTTCTTTCATACTTTTTTTCACAATGTATAATACAAATTGAATATTTAATTTTTCTCTGTAGTTCTTGAGAGACTGTCCATCCTGCAGCCTCCATCAAGTGCCCCAGCAACGGGTGTCCAGCCACAGGACTGGCAGTCCTTCACGCATCCCACCGCTGCCACCAATCATCCATCTACCAGAGGACATCGCAGACAGAGGTCTGATGCCACTGCCAACACCACCACCTCTACCACAACCTCTATCACTTCCAACAGAAGCCAGTCTTTGATTAGAAGGGAAGGCTTCTGGGCATGGGCAACTGGCAGGCAACCTACCAGGACAAAGACAATGAGCGGCACGGAAACATCGGGAACGGCATCTGGCCACCAGCAGGTTGGAGCCTCTGGAGGAATGAGGAATCAAATAAGGTGAATGTTCAATGATGTCTTTCAGTTGGGTGATCTCTCTTTGATAGCAGCCTATCCAAGACTCCTCTATTTTGCCTCAATTGTTTATTGATGTAGAAACCAAAGGATAAATGTAGCACAAGGCAAATATTCCTGAGTCATTCTGTTAGCAATTATTAATGCATTCAATCTCTCGTACCCTCCATAACCTGCGTAAAAAACAGTATTGGAGCTGCACTTACTGCCTAGAGAAATGCAGGTGCGTTCATTCAGAAATATCCCTTTTGTCAGTTGAAAACCATTTAGCTCTCTAAAACCTGACCATTAGGGCACGTGTTGGATTTCATCTCATTTGCATTCAAGGGGTATCAAATTATGTGAAATATGAGTTCCAAGAAAGAGATTGGCATCTCTGTAAATTCATCCCAATATAGGAGGTCCTCACAATGCCAGTTTTATTTGTGTACGGTGGTTCTTTGTATTTCCTTTTATGACCATTTCATTAATTCTGTATACCACAATTTTACTACTCAAGCAGAAAGAAAACAAATCACACCGTCGAAAACACAAAACTCAAACGAAAATTAGGAAATTTTACACTTCTACCTTTTTTTAAAGGAAATATTAATGCAGTATGGTGTCCTGCTTAATGAAAGATCTCATACTCTCTTGTTTCACTGTACTTAAAGGCCGTTTAAGTTGGTTCTCTTAAGCAGAATGAATAAAAGAGAACTTGTCTTTTTAAAATGATTTTGTTTGTCATATATCTTGCTCTGACTGTTGCCAATACGAGCTGCATGATAATTTGTTATGTGTGTATTTCTTCTTCAGACCTCTTTCTCTCTCCGTGGCCCATGATGATTGGGATACATTGGAGTCCATGCCCCCTCAGGTCATGAAGGTTTCGCCAAGGGAAGAACGGCTTAACTCCAGCATTGATGTCGTCCAGAAGAGAGGTGAGATGTTGGGGTTTTAAGTTGCAAAAGGCTGGGTGAAATAGAGTATTGTACCAATTCCCTTGCCCTTCTCTCTCTCTCTCTGTCTCTCTCTCTGTCTCTCTCTGTCTCATTCTCTCTCTCTGTCTATCTCTCATTTGTTCAGTTATCTTGATATATGCAGAGTTATTAGTCATCTTTTAAAGTTTGATCAGGTTCAGGAGAGATAAATTTTCTGGTCCATCATTGTTTCATGAGATAAGTTTTCTTGTTTGGAGATTTTCCATTTGGATATTGAATTGAATGATTCAGCGGCAAATTTCAGAAAGAGGAGAAGAAAAAAAATAACACGTGGCACATGTATCACATGTCCTTCTTGTACATGTACACATGTATTTTCTTCCCTAATCTTTTAACTTGGTTAACTAATCCTAATCCTAATCTCAATCAACATTGAGTGGTCATTTGGGTGGATATAAGGGCCTCCAAGCCTGTTCAGAATGCGATGCCATGACTGATAATCAATTGAAAGACAAGTCATTTGAGTTCATCAGATGATTCATGTTCTTAAGAAATACATAAAGAAAATTCCTTATCCGCATTTTGAGGATCTATCACTTAACACATAGTGCCTCTTTGGGTCTAATACTAAGCCAACGATGACGCAACTTAAGCTTGGGTGTAGCATTAATTTACTCAATTCGATAGATCTTTGAATTGAGTAATACAGGATTATAGAATCTTGTTAATTGAAGAAAATAATGGAGCAAGTGTAAATTTAACCCATCCCATTTCTCTGTAATCTCGTTATCATCACATGACCAAAGGGCAACAGCCTCGTGTACGCAAACTCTGTTTTAACCCCTTGCCTGCTGGAACTGGGAAGATACTGTATTAACGCCTATGGCAATGCATGAATTCAGTTGTTAATGGGTTAATAGCTATCCCCTGAAGCATGATGAAAGATTGGGTAATGATGCTGTGCCATGTGTGAATGAATGTTTAATTAGCGATCCAAATTAAGATGCTAATTAGGGAGAAGGGTGGATAGCGTTGACACTTGGAACCACCCTGCATTCGTAATGATGCAATCTTTATTTAGTTGCGGAGTGAAGCAGGTGTAGCATATCGAAAGGAGACGAGATTAAGACTCAGATTCCGTAACACACCACACCCATAGGCAACACACATGCTTCCAATTGCAACAATGGATGGAGGGGGTTAATTAGGATTGTATAATTTCATAATTGATGGATCTTCACGGCCTAGCAGAGACTCCCTTCTTTGCTATTGAACCTGTGCTAGTTTAGGCCAGTAGAGAATATAAACATTATAATTGCTCTTTATGCCAGTAGAAGCTTGTGAAACAGAGTAGGATGAATTAGATGACTGATGACTAATTTGTGACAGCTGCCATTTTTTTAAAATGAGGTATTACTACACGCATAATCTTTATATAGCCCTTATTATCTAAATAAGTGCTGTTATAGGTGTAAAATACTATTCGAAATGGTCCAAATTATTTTTAAGAAGATGGGGATAGAGAGCAATAGCTTAAAATTTCCTGTTTTGAAAGAATATCTTGTGGGAAAATGTGAATAAAGTGACTGTATTTTCTATTAAGCATAAGTGAATATCATGAATTTCCTCTTTAGCTCTCTATACCCAAATGCCGGGACTAGAAAACTTCACCTAGTTTTCCTAGAGAAATAGGGCGTCATGTTTCCTAGAGCTTCATCGCGCAGGAGTTCCTCCTCTCCTGTCCCCCATCATCATTATGGCAGCAATAAACTGAAAGGGTTCACACGTTGCGCAAGACTCCTCTTGCACAAACACAGTTTACACCCCTAATGCCTCAGCCACACCTTTGCGTATTTTGCTTGCGTTTTGCTGCGTATTTATGGCAAGTCGTTTTATCATTTATTCCTATTTCTTGACATCATGAATTGAATTCTCGATATCAAGAATTACCATTGCTTTACAACAGAAAATCATTTCTTAATATCAAGAATTAGGAATAAATGTTAAAACGGCTTGCCATAAATACGCAGCAATGCGTAAGCCAAATATGCAAAGGTGTGACTGAGGCATTAGACTAGATATATATCGGCATCTTGTGACGGGCGGGAGAGTATATACCCACGAGGGGTTTGCCTCATTTAGCTCGCTGGTAATTCTCCCTCTAAATGTCGACACCTGCCATCATGCCGATGAAAATGAGGTTGGGAGACTCTTCAGCTCTGGAGGGCACCCAAGCTGGCGCCAACACAAATTTGATTTCCAACCCACGAGGTTGCGTAAGGCCACAAGTGTTTTTTCTTTTTTAATTCCCATTTCAAGTTGCGCCATGATGTATCCTTTATGTTGCCTCTCTCGCTGTGTAACCCTTAAAGGGGAAGTCCTCCCTGATGTAAATTTAGTTTTAATAGAAGCAGAAAAATGAGAGAAATAGGTCAGTCAAAAGTTTGAGCAAAAACCGATTGAAAGTAAGCAAGTTATGCATTTTTGAAGGTGCGATCAATCAAACACAAATTGACACAACTCTGTGATGTATCTTGCGAGTTCCCCTTCCATTCGGCCTTACTTAAAAACTTTAAAAATTTATATTTTCCCGTAAGAAAATTTTCAATCATACATTCGCCCTAAATATGATTATTGCAGATGCATTTTTATACAATACCTGAATAAAATCTATTCCATCACCAATGATTGAGGAAGTAAAAGATGGTAACATTTTCTGTACGGAGCAAATAGGAGTGAGGCTAGCAAGATACGTCACAGTGTTGCAAATTTGTGTTTCACTGATGACATCTTCAAAAATTCTTAACTTTCCTATTATTAATTGGATTTTGGTTAAACTTTCACTAATTTGTTTCTCTCATTTGTGTGCTTTTATTCAAACCAAGTTAATATCAGGGTGGACTTCCTCTTTAATGATCAATTCAAGAAGACAGACGCATTTTGAAGAAGCATTGCGTTCTGTTCTAATTTCAATTGGTTTTAATTGGTTTGAGATCAAACTTCACTTGACATTTCAAGATCAAAACATCTCCTGTTTTCTTTGAAGCTTGGAAAATAGATCATCGGAACTACAGTTTTTCTTTTAATTCTTTGGCACATCACTGTGATTATAGATTAAAGGATTTGAGGATAAAGAGTTGGAAAAAAACAGTGTAATGTGGTTAGATTTCTAAGAGATGTTGTGCAGTTTGGATGATTCTAAATAAAGCTCTCTTCATTATTATGTATGTGAGGAAATGTGTTGCGCCCGATTAGTTGTTACCGCAGGAATCGAAAGGGTTAATTCAGTTTGCTCTTGTACAGTTCCAACAGTTCCTTCCGTGATTTGACCAAAATGTTTCTCTGAAAGATAAGATATAAAAGGGGAAAAACATTGATGAAATACCCCAACTGCTCTTATTAACTAAAAGGGAATTTCCTTATGTATTAGCACTATCCATGAATTTCTTTTTCCTGTAAATATATTTGTGTCTATTTCCATTTTGTTTTCCACTTTCCCACCTCCTCAGTTGTAGGGGCACTGAATGTAATTTTGTCAGAATTTATCAATTAACATACCCTTAACATGAAGACTAAAGTCTTCTGTGGGGGGGGGGGGGGGATTTTAGACACTCTAAGCAAGAAAGAACACACACACAAGAAGAAGAAAGTAGAAAGTAAATCAAACACTTTTGTGTATGTCCACGTCATCCTTTTTGATGATACATGAACAGTTTATTTTGTTTTAGTAACAAATCTTTTTTTTTTTTTTTTTTTTTTTTTTTTTTGGGGGGGGGGGGGGGGTTTCCATGTCATGAACTCATTTGAACTATAAAATGTAGGTGGTCATTAAATGGAATCAGTGTGTCAGATAATAGCTCGCTCCGTCGGCAAACGGAATGATGAGGAGTCATTCGTTGTTCCTTCATCGTCACATACATCACCTGCTCATCTCTGAGATGTTAGATTACCCAATTATAACACAGTATAGAGGAAATACATTCACTACTCACTTGGTTGCTATGGTGACAATGTCATCATTGTCTGCTAGGTTGATGTGATTAGGATGTGCCGCTAACGCAATCACTACTGGTTGACAAAATTATTTTGCGATTATTTCTCTTCGAAAGCTCTTAAAGTGACAATGAAATGTAGATTTACTTCTTGAGTGGGAGGTCTTTTCCACAATCAGATATCCTTGCTTCTAATCATTCCTCTTCGAAAGCTTCTAAAGAAAGAAAACGGACTTTAATATTTTTTTTAGATGTATAGAGTGATTAGGTAGTTAAAGCTGAAAGACATAGATAGCTGTTGATTTTATCATCTAAAATAATTTGTATAACTTTTCTGGATTTGTAAATATGAATATATTTCAGCTATTCATGCAATAAATGCTCAGGCAACACAAGATGTGAGAAAAGCAAACAAAATATACAAGCTTAATTATAACCAAGAGTAGCTTGATATTGATTTATTTGATTATACTGGCTATTTTGGTTCTTATTTTAATTATCAGGCATGGATACTTGTATATTGCTAGTTATAGGAGGAATCACTACTCAGTCAACCAAAATGTAATACAATTACGCGATCAGTGCTCTGCTCATGCAGTTACTTTTCATGTGAGGCTGATAATCAGTTGCTATGTAGTGAGCCTATAATTCAATTTTTTGTCAAGGTCAAGCAATTTTTATCTCAATCTTTCTTCCCAATATCTAATAGAATTGCGCATCCTGCTGGGATACTTTGCACATCTGATGTATCAGTTTTTAAATCTTTGAGGTTAGCCTTGAAATGTGTCAGGAAAAAAAATTGATATCGTTATCTGAAATGTAATTGAATAAGGTCTCAGCGTGCAAGTTTTTTGTGACATGTAAGAAATGTAAGCAAATTTATATTGATTCCTGTTTGGGTGTCAACAGTAGAAAGTTGTATAAAGCATGTAAAAACTTTTCAGATTGATTTTGATATGGGTTCAAGAAAAATACAGGACTACTTTACTATTTGATACATGGACAGTTAGGAAACATTACATCTGTCTGTTCAGGCTTAACAAGTTAATATTATATTCTAAGAAATGTAATTTTTTTGACATGTTTTTAAAATTATAAGATCAATCATGATTTCCAGACATAGAATTGGGTAATGTTTGTAATGGCAGCTGTAAAGCCTATCGTATAAACCCGAGCGGAGATATTATGGGTTTGGCACCCCATTTTTAAATCGTATCACACCCAAATGTCTCCCCTCCGGCTGGCTAAGCGTCCCTCTAAGTCAATGACGTCCTAAGTGTTCCCCCGTGAAGATGCGTTCTTGAAGATTGATGGATCAGAAGAGATCAAAATATCTTGATTTAAACCAAGATCTCTTTAAAGGAGGTGTGTCAATGTTAAGGAGGATGTTCAAAGTTCACTTAAAACTACCCCTCTTCATGCTATGTCTCTCTAACCGTATACAAACTGCCATCAAATACTGTAAACTTCACATTTATAGGGTTAATAGAAAGGATTTGGTCACTTGTTTTTGAGTGTGGAAGTGAAAATGTGTCGTTAATCCCGAAACTGAGATTTCTGTTTGATTTGGATGATTTATTTGAAGTTTTTTGCCGATGTTTTGGGTGTGGTGACATGTTTGGCGGGGTATGGCTCTTTAGAATGTCCATCACGAGAGGAACTCATTTGAAACATGAATGACAGCAGACTGATATATCATAATTTTCAGATTTTTAAAAAGAAATTTGGCAATAACACGTAAACTTGTTTATTGATGAAGCAAAATACATATACATGGCCAAACCCAGCTTTAGGAAACAGCTAGTGCTTTAAAGTTATCTGATATCATTATTTTATGAAAACAGATGCATAAAAATATTGAGTTGAAAATCCCAATATGACCAGTATTTAATACTACCGGTACATATTTTACTAGATATTTGTTCATGTCCTTATGCTGGGCAGTGGGCACACAACCAAGTATACAGTACAAGTAAAAAGTATCAAGGTCTGATTATCATTAGGATTCCTTGTCATTCAGGCAAAATTTGCCAATTCATTTGCCAAAGCCACATACAGCTGTATGCAGGTAATCTAAAGGGATTTGATAATGATTTCATATCTTATGCTGTAGTTTTTTGCCATTTGATAGAAATTCATGAAAATATCAGAGCTCTATGCCAAATTCATGTCTGTTTAACCTCTACTGATAAAAAGAATCCATACTGTCACTAGATCAAGGTATTTTATAAATTCAATAGTATTGATTTGCCAAGAGAGGTCTCCTTGTGACCCACATGTTTGTCATGTTAAAGTTGATGACATAGGCCAAGTGTTCTAGGTAGTTTAAAATGCTGGAGAGAGAACTGTTTGAAATCTGAAATCAAAAATAATGAAAGTTGTAAATTTGTATTAGAATCAATGATTATAGTCATGTATTATTTATATTTTAATACTTGACAATAATCAGTCTTTATTTGATACAATTCACAAAGTATTTGATGGATCCTTGTCATTGCAGAAACAAAATACCTCACAGTTTACTCCATTTGTATAAATGGATATGGGCCTGTGTCTGTATAATTTTTATATTTAATTTTAATTCATTCTGCCAAGTATACCTGCATTATATCTTTCATAAAACCATGAAAGATAATTTTTTAAATCGTTTTTTCATGGACACTAAGGTACTAATTTGTTTCAACAATACCTCTACTTGACTTCTTTCAACATAACTTAACAACACACTGCCTTAATGTACAATTGTGTAAATCTTGCAGCTGTTGATGGTAATCCTGAAAACAAATGAAATATAATATAAGCAGCTTCTGTATGTATGCGATCATGTGCACATGTTTGTAAGCTGTATATTTCTTTTATTTTCCTTTCCATAGCCCTTGTAGCGGAGGTGAATGCAGCCGTAGCCCAGCTCCTCGCTCACTTTGCTCAGGCCAAGACGGGACTCCCAGAGGAAAAGGTGGGTCTTCCTCTCTAGGCCCTCCCCCTACCCAGAGGGGGGCAAAGAGAGGGTAACATGTATAAGGGGGAAAACATCCATGTTAGAAGGAAAGCCGGGTGTTCCTTATCCAATTTCCATTCAGACTGGAAATGTTAGAGGAAGTGCTAGCTGTTCGTTGTTGCCTTGTTACACGGGGCAAATCACCATTTTATTTATAGATTGATTAATTTACTTTGGGGAGGGTGGTCGTGTGGCGGGGCTGCTTTTATTTGGGATTCCAGCTTTGAACGTTACTGCTTAAAAGAGGTACTAGAATTTTGGATAATGATATTCTACTCTAGAATTGAAGACTAGCTGGTATGAAACTGCTCTACAAGAGGTTAACTCAATAAAAAATCCCCTTTTCCCTTCTTATGCTTAAATTTGAACTAGATAGATGTCTAAATTTTTTTAGGGAGACAATAGACCCATTTTATAAAAAAGAAATATAAACTGTAACTGAAGGTTTTATTTATACCTCTAAAATCCTATATTAGAATAAGAAAGGAAAACATTATGTTAGAGAGATATATACAAAACTGGTGAAGAAGGAAACATTATTTTGATTAAGTTTAAAAAATGTTTATTATGGTAGGAAAATAATCAAGTAAAATTTGGAATGACTCCCATATCCTTGTAATTTGAAGAATGAACATGGCCTGTTTTTAGCGACTGTGCTTGAATCAAGCTAGGAATCTAAGTTTAGACCCTAAAGAAAGTCGTATTTACATTGTCGGCATAGCAACTCTAATCTGAATCATTCGGCGCAGCTCTCAGATTCTCCTTGCTTCCATGGTCTGTCAAATAAACTCTTTCCTGTAAGACAAGGAATTGAACTTAAAGCAATTTAGCGCTCCCAGATTGATTTCATAATATCCTGGCATACATGTACGTGATTAGTTTCATCATGGTAAATACTGTAAACCTTCTTGCAGTGCACAACAGTAGATCTGTTGTGCACATCAAAGCTCAAGTCTGTTAAAAGTTTTGTATTAACGCTATGGTGGTGGGCAAATCCTGGGTTGCATTTTGGGCAGTTACCCCTCCCCCCTCATTATTTTTAATAGAATGGTGGTATATTCTATGCAAAGTATGATTTTGAACCCCTCCCCCCCCCTCCACACACACACACCCACCCACATGCATTTGGAAGTAGAATTGATCCTCAAAGTGATGATATTGGATATGTCATTTTTCTTTTTTCTCTCTAATTAAAAGAAATAAAAAATTAACATTATTTTGTCTTGGAACATCAAGTTACTTCCATTCCAAGTGATTCCATTTTTTAACCAGAAAGGGCCTCATTTCAAAATGACCCTAAGACACAAGTTCATCCAAACTCCCTGTATCTCTTTGTTTGTGATAAATTTAAAATTTCTTTCATTTGCTTTTCCCGTCTTCCCCGGAGAGAGAATTAAAAGTGAAAAATAAGCGCGCAAGCTAGTCCACCTGTTCTCACTCTAGACCATGAAGAACTTGACGGAGAGGAAGCCCTAATCAGTTCTTCCTGCGTACTAGGCTGCTCAGCAAATTGGCAACGCGCCAAGTGATGATCGTTAGCAGCATTTAAAAATATGGCGGTGTTTGTGACGGTTGGTACAGACATAAACCTTGATAGAGTGAAAAATATATTTAAATCTTAATAAAATTGAGTTGAATTAATTTGAATTGAATATCGAGTTGAAGAAGATGAAAACGTAGATGGAAGAAAAGTTAATGATTATTCTATTCATGATTGAAGATCACTTTTATGCAGCAATACACACTATCTGATGAATGATTTGAAATTTCTTTTCACTTGTCTTGAACTGCTGAAAAGAAAGTTCGTCTTCAATTGAGTCAAAGAATTTATAACTATCAGAATTCAAACAATTTCCCAACTGTCTCGTGATTCACTTTTGGAAATGTATCATTTATTCTAACTTCAATAAATATATCTTTTAAAGCATTTTAGGCAAATATATCAGTTGTAAACTGTGCTGAAAAGTGATATCATATCAAGTAACTCATGCTTTTATTGATTCGGATATTGATATACTACGGGGAAAGTCCTTGAAGAGTTTTCTCTACTTAGAAAGTGGATCGGCAAAGATTACAATGGATCACTTTCAATTAGCGATGCTAACAGAAAGCAAAGTTACATGAAGTTAAATATAATCAACTTTTAATCCATGTGATAAGATATAATACCCATATTTATGTCCCCATGCTTCCTTCCTGAACTACACATGGGAATCAATATGTGGTTTTGTAACCTTAAATTATTTATTAGTCCAGTATCATAATCTGTGATATGATATATGGTAAATCATTTTCACTTATTAATTAATGGTTTCTTAGAAACTAATATATTTTGTTCCCAAATGTTTTTATTAGAAAATAAGGTTGGCGTGTCAGGATGGTATATTACCAAATTTATGACTTTTTTCGTTGAAAATATATATTTTTGCATTGTTCCCAAAACAGTGCCATGAAACAAATGAGGTGCACGTTGTTCTGATGTAAACAAAATCATCAGATAAAAGCTAATAGCATTGAATTTATTATAGAGCCATGTTTATTTCTTGTCGTCTAGATGAGTTTAACTTTTAATGTTAAGTTGACAAATCACTTTCAGTTTGACCAGACACCAATAATGCTTTGGATCAGCTTACATCTTTTTTGCATACCATTTGTACACACCTGCCCTCCAAAGTCAATTCCCATGTTGCTAACTCGCTCTTCCTTTAAATGTTGAAAAGCGAGACGAACATAGCCCGTGATAATTAATAAGCTTCCTCATGGCAATGAATTCATTGACCCTACCGCAAGCAGTCACCTGTAGGAGCTGTCTCAATTTGTGTGTGAAGATTATACCTGATGCCCCTGTCTGTAACTTCCCCCCTCAAATTGTTCTTAAGCCCAGAAATACCAACTTTTATATCTTACTGTGCTTTTATTCTAGGTTACCATCAACCCAACATGCAAAGGGTTAATGACGTTAACCGTCGATGGCTGCACTTGTTTTGCAGCTTTCTCAATCCCGTAGATTAACTTATAATTGGTCCACTTTCCCCTGTCTAACTGAAAGAATTATCTGGCCCTTCTTAAGTCTCTGCTTCCTAGCTCCTTTCATCTAATAGCTTTGACCATATGCTAAGGCTTATCTCGGAAGGGTGGTGTTAAGAAGTCTTAAGACTGTTCGCTACTTCCTCACTTGAAGATCTTAAGATTTAAGTCCAAGTAGACCTGGTCTTGATACTCAACGTCTCAAGAACTTCCTAACTGCATTAAGTTGTCTAAATTTAGGGACTATAAACCTGACCCTTGCATATCTTGACTTCTGGAGCTAATTTAGACCAAGTGATGTGGGGAGATTTGTGATTGGTTGATGAGAGGTTCCATGGTGTCGTGCCCTTTATTCTAAAAGGCTTTTTAACTTGCCAATTATAAGGGTCAACTGCTCAAATTTGGAAAGCTTAATTCATTAGTTATTCACTTTATCAAAGCTTGAAATGAAGGACATTGATTTTGTCATATAGAATTTTTGTATAGCATATTTAGTATCAAAATAATTACTGTGATATAATTAAATAATCTATTTTTGTAAAAAAGAAAATACAAGCCTGATGTCATTTCAAAATCCCATTTCCATAATACCCATTAATACACCTTGTGTTTAGTTAAGAACTTGGTGCACACAAATATCTTTAGTAGATGAGACATTTTTTTCTTGCTTTGGGGAATTCTGAACTTTTTTTGTTAAAAAATATTAAATGTCAAGTGTTTCACTCTGTCAAAACGAAGAAGATTTGCTTGGAACTTGGATTACAAGATGGCTGGAGGAAAAACATACGCAATATTTTCTCCCTATTCCTGAAAGCTTTCCCAGAAAGCAAACTTCAAAATGCAAATGGTTTTCAGAATGAACTCTCAAAGAGCTGAAGTTTATGCCCTCAGCTGAACTGCACTGTTTGATTTGAGATGAATACGGTACAAAGTTTTTCCATCATGTAGGGAATGGGGACTTAGCAGCAAAAAGTTAAACAGACATGATTTTTACAATTTTTCTTTAAGAATGTATTTAGAGTATATTTTAGATGTTTTTTCTGTTATCTTTAGTACCATAAAATGAAAGCAGTGTGATAATTCCTAGGTTTATTGATTGTTCTGTTTCTTCAGATATACCAGATTCAGGGTCTTTCATGCAGTCTAAAAGTAAATGAAACTCTGTAGCTGCCTGATTAGTTATTATAAGTAATTACCCTGGCACAGCGATCAGCATAGATGTAAATTAGTGTAGGTGGTAGCCTGTAATAATACCACTGCACTAAATATATCCCATAGCTGCTGTTTATACTCCTGTTGAAGTCTTGTCTATAATTAATCATACATTGCCTTCGAAATAATCCTGTGACCTCAGATGTTATAATGCTATGATTTCATTAATGAATCATAACTATATGAAATTGAGAAAGCTAGTGAGAAATTAGACTCTGTCGTATTTGTATTCTTGTTTGACAAGGCCTTATGAGTGAAAATCCAGTAGCAGCTACAGCTTTAACGGACTTAGGGGCCATTTTGACTACGGATAGCAAACAAGTGTAATGTGGGTTTCTTTTTCTGGAGTTCAAACAGACATTTTGAAAGGTTAATGTGAGGTGGCTTTCTTTCCTCTGTATGTTTTCTTAAATTTTGCTTTCGCTTTTGGGAGAAAAAAGATCAGTGATATTGTTTTTTTCACTGAACTGATTGTATACGAAACCTAATAGGATTCCTTTAGGACTTAAATCTAAACTGCATTGTTCTGATAGTGAAGAGTGCTATATTTATATTTTTAAAGTTCAATATCCCCTTTCAAAGTGTAATTTAAATTTGCAACAATAGACTGTTGAGCTCCAAAGGTGGCAGAACACCAAGGTTCATTAAACCTGTGAATGGTTATCGTAATGAGCAACCCAAAATAGATACATTATCTAATTATTCATAGGTTATAGCCA